TCCAGGAGCCAATTGCTGGACCAGGTCTGCAGCCTGTCCAGATCCCTTTGTAGTTCTGCCTGGTCTTCGATCGAATGAATTCTTCTCATCAACTTCACGTCATCTGCAAACAGGGACACTTCAGAGTCTATTCCTTCCGTCATGTCGTTCACAAATACCAGAAACAGCACTGGTCCTAGGACTGACCCCTGTGGGACCCCGCTGGTCACAGGTGCCCACTCTGACATCTCGCCACGTACCATGACTCACTGCTGTCTTCCTGACAAGTTTCCCTGATCTATTGTAGTGCCTTCCCTGTTATCTCTGCTTGGTCCTCCAGTTTTTGCACTAATCTCTTGTGTGGAACTGTGTCAAATGCCTTCTTGCAGTCCAAGAAAATGCAATCCACCCACCCCTCTCTCTCTTGTCTTACTGCTGTCACCATGTCATAGAACTCCAGTAGGTTTGTGACACAGGATTTCCCGTCCCTGAAACCATGTTGGCTGCTGTTGATGAGATCATTCCTTTCTAGGTGTTCCACCACTCTTCTGATAATCTTCTCCATGACTTTGCATACTATACATGTCAATGACACTGGTCTGTAGTTTAGTGCTTCATGTCTGTCTCTCCTTTTTCAAACATTGGGACTACATTTGCTGTCTTCCATGCCTCAGGCAATCTCCCTGTTTCGATAGATGTATTTAATATTGTTGTTAGGGGTACACATAGCACCTCTGCTCCCTCTCTCAGGACCCATGGAGAGATGTTATCCGGCCCCATTGCCTTTGAGGTATCTAGCTCACTCAGAAGCCTCTTCACTTCTTCCTCGGTTGCGTGTACTGTGTCCAGCACTTGGTGGTGTGCCCCACCTCTCCGTCTTTCTGGAGCCCCTTCTGTCTCTGTGAACACTTCTTTGAATCTCTTGTTGAGTTCCTCACATACTTCATGGTCATTTCTTGTTGTCTCTCCTCCTTCCTTTCTTAGCCTGATCACCTGGTTCTTGACTGTTGTTTTCCTCCTGATGTGGCTGCATAACAGCTTCGGGTCAGATTTAGCTTTCGCTGCTATGTCGTTTTCATATTGTCGTTGAGTCTCTCTTCTTATCTGTGCATATTCATTTCTGGCTCTATGACTGCTCTCCTTATTCTACTGGGTCCTTTGCCTTCTATTTCTTCCATTCCCTAGCACACTTGGCTTTTGCCTCCCTGCAACTTTGGGTGAACCATGGGCTCATCCTGGCTTTTTCATTATTCCTGTTATCCTTGGGTACAAACCTCTCAGCCTCCTTGCACATTGTAACTACATATTCCATCATCTCATTAACTGGCTTCCCTGCCAGTTCTCTGTCCCACTGAACCCCGTTCAGGAAGTTCCTCTTTCCCGTGTAGTCCCCTTTCTTGTAGTTTGGCTTAATTCGTCCTGGCCTTCCTGCTTCCCCCTCCACTTGTAGCTCTACTGTGTATTCTAAGTTTAAAACCACATGATCTGTGTGTGTGTGTGTGTGTGTGTGTGTGTGTGTGTGTGTGTGTGTGTGTGTGTGTGTGTGTGTGTGTGGTGTGATGTGTGATGTGTGGTGTGGTGTGTGTGGTGTGAGTGTGTGTGTGTGTGTGAGTGTGAGTGAGTGTGAGTGAGAGTGTGAGTGAGAGAGTGAGTGTGAGTAAGATGTGAGTGTGAGTAAGAGTGAGTTGAGAGTGAGTGAATGAGAGTGAGTGAGTGAGAGAGAGTGAGAGTGAGAGGTGAGAGAGAGAGAGAGAGAGAGAGAGAGAAGAGAGAGAGAGAGAGAGAGAGAGAGAGAGAGTGAGAGAGAGAGAGTGAGAGTGAGTGAGTGAGTGAGTGGAGTGTGAGTGAGTGAGAGTGAGAAGTGAGTGAGAGTGAGTGAGAGTGAAGTGAGGTGAGTGAGTGGAGTGAGTGAGAGTGAGTGAGAGTGAGTGAGAGTGAGTGAGAGTGAGAGTGAGTGAGAGTGAGTGAGAGTGAGTGAGAGTGAGTGAGTGAGAGTGGAGTGAGTGAGAGTGAGTGAGAGTGAGTGGAGAGAGTGAGTGAGAGTGAGTGAGTGAGAGTGAGTGAGTGAGAGTGAGTGAGTGAGTGAGTGAGAGTGAGTGAGTGAGAGTGAGTGAGAGTGAGTGAGATGTGAGTGAGAGTGAGTGAGCGATGAGAGTGAGATGAGAGTGAGTGAGAGTGAGTGAGAGTGAGTGAGGATGAGAGGATGAGAGTGAGTGAGAGTGAGTGAGATGATGAGGGGTGAGTGAGCGAATGAGAGTGATGAGTGAGAGTGAGTGAGAGTGAGTGAATGAGAGTGAGCGAGTGAGAGTGAAAGAGAGTGAGCAAGTGCTCAGTTACATGAGTGTGTACACAACACTTATCTACTTGTGTTAACCCATTTATTGTTGGAAGGGTTAATTCTCAGCTCCTGAGCCTTCCTCTTATCACTCTCCAAATTCCCTTCCTCTTAAAAGATATGATATAGTATGAGTTAGTAGTAATAAATATAAGGGGGGGGTTTTGATAATATAGTAATATAATATATTATAAAAATATAATATGAATAGGGAATATAAATATTAATATAATTGGGGGGGAAAATTAAAAAAATTTAGGGGAAATTTTTTTTTTTTTTTTTTAAATTTCTAAATCAAATACATAAAATTAATTTTACAAGGGAATTTATACGAATAATTTTATGACAATAATATTAATAAATATAATAATCATAATTAAAAAACAATCTCTTACATATTTACACAAACCTTTATCTACTTTTTCCCCCATTTATTTTTTTTTCCCACTCCTGACCTTTCCCTCTTATCACCCAAAAATTCCCTTCCTTTTACCTTTGGCTTAAAACCTTTTTTTAAAAACTATATGGAGCCATTTTAAACCCAAAATCATTCCCCTTTTTCCCCAAAACTTAAAAATTATCCCTCACCCGCTATTATACTAACTTCCACTATCCCCCAACCCCTTTTTTCCCCCCCCAAACTTTTTTTTAAAAAGGGGTGGGGGGGGGGGGTTCTTTAAAAAAAAACCATCACAAAAAAAAAAAAAAATTTAAAATTGGGGAAACAAAAAAACCCCCCCTTTCCGAACTTCAAAAAAAGGAAAACCGGGGCCACCCCCAAACACTTTTAAAGAAAAATCAAAAACCAAATTTCTTTGAAAAACATAAAATTTACTTCTTTTTCAAAGACGTTGGGATTAACCCTTAAACGCCAAAGTAGACCTACCTTCACTGCTACACAATGAACTAGATAAAACTTTTTTTTTTACAAAGAAACATGAAAAAAAAATTTTCAGAGCGCTATGCACATAAACGTAGATCATTTTTGGGAAAATTTTAAAGGGGTTAATTGGCTGGCAATAAAAATTTTCCTGATGGAACCATTTTGTTTTTGAAGATTTCTAGCAAATTCAGAAGGTTGAAAAAAAACAAAAAAAGGGGTTATTCCAAAGGGAAAAATTTTGAAAACTTTTGGTCAAGACACTGAAGAATAGGTGGCGAAACAAAAAAAACCCCCATGAATCAAACACTTACAAAAATGTATTATTAATGCAGCATTTAACAAAAGTGAAAGATGAAAACCCCTTAATTGAAGGTACAAACACAGAATATCACTGGAAAATTAAATATCAGTCTGTACTGGTTTTTTATAACCGACATTGAAGAAGAAATTTGGTTTAATTTACTAAAACCTACAGAGTCTATAATTTTAAAATGCAGGGGTCAGGGAGTTCTTTTCATTATAAAAATGTGATTTTTAAACATACCACAGCCCTTGGTGGATGGTGACAATACCTTTACCCAAGTTACTGTATACTCAACATTCAATGCAGTTCACAGAACCCCCCCCCCCCCCCCCAGATAAGTTACACTCAACATTCACTATTCACTGCAGTGCCATGGAAATCCTAAACCCCGGATAAGGCATATTTAATATTCACTGCAGTTTCATGGAAATTATCCACTCCAGATGAGGTATGTTGTACATTTTCTGCAGCTGCAGCTCCATGGAATGCCTCAAAGCACAATGATGAAGACTTAACATTTCAGACATAACAATAATGAGAGCAATGGTGTGCGCTCACCATTTTTGACATGAGATAATAATAAATACATAAAATGTCCATGAAGTACTTGTACATTGGTACAAAAAAAATCAGCATACCACATTAATGCAAGTGAATACATATATCAGTCACCCCATAACAACAAATTCTTAAGAGAACTGTATGCCTCAGTATCCCAAAGGATGCATTCCATGAAACTGCATAATGAGAATTCACTAATATGCAACCTATATTTTAATGAGAAAATGAGGCATATGCTCCAGACCTCTGTGGCCTTCATATCCAGAAGACATAATATTAGCTAAATAAGATGTGATTTGATGTGCTGCTGGAGTGTAAGCAGAGTAACATTTGTGAAAGGTTTCAGGAAAATTGGCAAGCTGGACTTAAGAGTCCTTGAGGTGGGAAGTAGAGTGCCTGCACTCTGAAGGGGTGTTGATACTGCAGTTTAACTGTACTGTAGGCTTGCCTCTGGCAAGACAGTGATGGAGTCAATGATGATGAAAGTGTTTCTTCTTTTTCGGGTCACTCTGCTTTGGTGGAAAACGGCCAATGTGTCAACAAAAAAAAAAAAAAATAAATAAATAAGATGTGCACATAATACATTAGCAGGTCACAGATATAGGCACCACTCATGGATCAGGAGCCAAGGATGTATAAGATGGTACAATACTTAACATAGATTCATGGTTCTGGATGTTAGACTTGTAGACAATAGCCTGAATACTCTAAGCAAATCATGTGTATGGGAATCCAACTGTGGATAATAATCATCAGGTTATAAAACTTGGCTCATGAACTGGCAAATTGATGAATTCTGAGGGAATACAGTACTTTAATGATATTACATTCATATATGGAGCATAAGCTATTCTGCCCCTTAACTGGAATAATAACAAACTGCTATACTTAACTCTCCTGTAAATGAGTACACACACACACACAAAACAAAAACTTACTTGTTATAAGAATGAGGAACTCTCCTGAAGTATGACAACAAAGACTGCTGAACAACATCAGCTAAAACTGCTTCTCGCTCAATTATTTCAAAGATGAGAGAACTGCGGGCTGATTCCAACAGGTTTTTGTCCCATGCTGTCGATCCGTTAATGTGTGAATTCTGATGAAAAAAATATGCATATTAGTCAGCTGTAAAGAAGCAAAAATATGTTACATCAATGAGAAAACTTCCCAGCAGAATATTCTTTTACCTTCCAGGGCACTAAATATCAATTAATAAAAAAAGTATCATGTGTACAAGTATAAAAAATGAAGCATGACACCTAACACTCAGGTGAATGAAATAATTCCTAGTTTGTGAGCATATTAACACTAAAGTAATGCTCAAGGATGCCAGAAGTATTAGATTCACTGGGGATGGGACAATACCAAAATTTTTGCCAGTACAAATACTCAGTTTTAGGCCACTACCATCAAAATTAACCAGCACTCACTGATACTGATACTATGGCACACCTCTACAGTGCTCATTAACCCTTTGAGGGTCCGTGCCGTAGATCTACGGCTTTACGTTGAGGGTCTAAACCGTAGATCTACATCATGAGCTCAGCTCGCTCTGATAGCTGTGAGCGGTAAATTTTGGCCTTGATATGAGAGAATACATCTATGTGGTATGTGTGCATCACATAAAACAAATCCTGCAGCACATAGTGCATAATGAGAGAAAAAAATTGAGACCGTAATTTTCGATCAAAACAGCAACTTTGCAGTGTTTTTTGTATGTTTTTATAGTTGTATTTGCGATTTCTTGGTCTCATTTGATAGAATGGAAGATATATTACAGAAACAGAGATGATTTTGATTGGTTTTTAGTACTGGAAATGGCTTGAAACTGAGCTCAAAGTAGCGGAAATGTTAAATTTTTGCCAATGTTCAAGAGTAAACAAATGACCTCACACATCTAACACACGCCTGCTGGTGGGTCTAATATACATTCACAAATGTAGTGATATTATTTACACAATTATTACAATATTGCATAAGAGTAAATCTTCTATTTTTTGGTTTGAATAAAAATTCATCATGTGAATAAAAAATCAAAATGGAATTCATTAGTAAAGCCTGAAAACTTAACTAATGAACAGAGGAAATGTTAGTTTAGTGCCAGGAATGTCTGCATTGTTTATTCTGGACCCTATTTTGAAATTGGAGTATTTTTAACTTTGCATTAAATTGGCCAAATTACCAATTTCCGATCACTTTATTTTGCAGTTGAAACAGCTGACTTGGCGAATTCTTGTGCTCAATCGATAGAAGTAATACTAGTGAAAGAGCTAAGAATTTGGTCGACTGGAATAATGTAATTGGCCTAAAATTCGAGTCAAAGTCGGCAAAATCACTGATGTATAAATATCGCTGACACATCAAAATTCGCGAGAGCATAATTTCATCAATTTTCCATCAAATTTTGTACTTTTTGTTTTATTATCTTCAGAAAAGGATTCTCTACCATTTCATAAGAAAAAATAACAATTATTTTTTGAAAATTCTTGGACACTGGTGCACACTTTGAAATTTGGCCTCTGGACCCTGAAAGGGTTAAAGTATGCAGCCTCCATCTCAAACCATGACAAAATATAGGTAATCCCTTGCACTTTAGGATTTCCTTCAACCGTCTATGAAGTGATTAATGTATTCTTTAGGATTTCCTGGGGTATATTTCCCCAAATTCACAGTTGGCATCCTAAAGTTGTGAGAGGGAATTGATATCATTCCCCCAGTAGATCTTTTTATCGTAGTCCAGAGGTTCTCAACAGTGTTCAAATATGGGAAACTGAAAAAGCCACTGAACAACAGATTTTGCTGTGTCAAAAAGCAACATTATATTATTTAATTATATTTTTTATTATTATCACATCTGCCATTTCTTACCAAGGCAGGGATATAAGGAAAATAATGGAAATCCACTGTAATCTGTTCCTGCTGTCAGAAGGCTTGACAGAATAGTACTTCAACATCATGCTATTATCAACTCTACGGCTTATTTATCTATCACAATTCATCTAATATGACATAATAAACAATATTAATAACACAGAAACATGATATATACTCTAGAATGAATAAAATATGTCATAATATATGTGAGGATAAGTGATGGAAGTGTTGTTGTTGGGTTTATAATGGCCACTGAGAGAAGCCGTACAGGCTTCTGCCACCACCACTATCAACAAACAATATTTCATTCATTCATTAGGGATTTGCCGGTACTTCTGGCCCGGGTCTTCTCCAGATGGTGACCCGGCGGTGGCCCCCGGGTTGGAGGTATCGTTCATCATCATCTTTCTTCTGTCTTCTTTCTTGGGCCCTCCGGGTCACAAACAATATATGAACGTAATTTATAAATAAGAAATATTTATATTTTAATTTATAAATAAGAAATATTTACATTTTAATTTATAAATAAGAAATATTTACATTTTAATTTATAAATAAGAAATATTTACATTTAAATTTATAAATAAGAAACATTTGCACTTATCTCAGAGATGTTAGTTTAATTATGTAGTTAGTTTGATGGAGTGTAGCAGATATGAAGAGAGTGTAGCAGGTATGCTGGGAGTGAAGCAGGCATACAGGGAGTGTAGCAGGCATACAGGGAGTGTAGCAGGCATGCAGGGAGTGCAGCAGGCATGCAGGAAGTTTAGCAGGCATGCTGGGAGTGTTGCAGACATGCAGGAAGTGTAGCAGGCATGTTGGGAGTGTAGCAGACATGCAGGAAGTGTAGCAGGCATGCTGGGAGTGTTGCAGACATGCAGGAAGTGTAGCAGGCATGTTGGGAGTGTAGCAGATATGCATGGAGTGTAGTAGACATGCAGGGAGTGTAGCAGGCATGCTGGGAGTGTAGCACACATGCAGGGAGTGTAGCAGGCATGTAGGAGGCAAGAGGAAGGCGAGTTTATGCTTCAATAAGACGTTAATATAATCTCAATGGCTTATTTATCTGTCATAATTATCTAATATGACATAATAAACAAAATTAATAACACAGAAACATGATATATACTCTAGAATGAATAAAATATGTCATAATGTATGAGAGGATAAGTGATGGAAGTGTTGCTGTTGGGTTCATAACGGCCACTGAGAGAAGCCGTACAGGCTTCTGCCACTACCACTATCCACAAACAATACACATATGAATGTAATTTATAAATAAGAAATATTTACATCTTAATTTATAAATAATTAAGTTTATTCAGGTATACACAAATACAGTTACGTACATAGATTATCATACATAGCGGCATATGTGTAAAGTACCTAGGATAACCCAAAAAAGTCAGAGTGACTTATGTATTTCCATTGGGGTCTTTTTATATTTACACTTTTATATTTACACTTCCCTTGGAGGAAATGTTAGTTTAATTAGTTTGATGGAGGAGATGCTGGCAGAGGTTTAGAGTGGTAGAAGACATGTAGCAGGCCGGCTTATGTTCAGCGGCCCGATACATATCCAATAACATTGGAGAGTTACTTTCGTGTCATTTTTCTATCGCTTACTCGCTTAACTTACTTGCTACACTGTTAATTCTACACTTTATCACTGGCTGGCACTATAGCCTTTATCGATACCTGCTGCTTTAGTATCGTACATATCGTAGAATCGCTGAATCACTGCAGAAGGCACATTCTCCCCTCTCTCTTCCTCCTCCGCTTTGGTACTTTGCTATGAGTTTTTTCTTGAATTTGTGTTTCTTTCCTTCTTTATCACAGGGCTGGCACTAGAAATTTTCTTTGGGCCCATGGTGGATTATTTAGCAGTTACAAGCACTAAAAACAATGGAATACAAAATATATCACATGTAAGCATGGAACTATCCTCAGTGGCTTGTAAACAATGACACACTGGCTGGTACACGGGGTGACTGGCTGGGCCTGCTCAGGGTGCTGTGCCGACACGTTCAGGACGAAAGCTCCTAACTGAGTTTTTAGGTGTTATCCGAACCAATTTTTTCACGCCAAAGCGAGGCGCTATCCAATCCAGGCGTTAACCGAGGGTCCATTGTACTTAGGTATGCATACTGGTCAGAGCTGGTCTAAGTCTGAGCGGTCGTTAAACGAGTAAGTCGTTATGAGGAGAGACTGTATTACAGACTTCAGAGAGGTTCCAGGCCTGCCTGTCCACAGTCTTCTTATGTCTAGGTGAGGAATGAGATAGAGGCCTCTAGGCTGACTCAGGTTCACGGGGTGACATGACGTCATGGCTAGCGAAAGAGCCTTACTATAATTAGTTGGGAATATCTATATAAGTGTACTACATAAGTATCACTTCTGGCAAACATTAATACCCATGACAGCCAATAAACTGAGCTGGTTATGCTAATAGTGGTCTTATGTTTATACTTTTAATACCTTTCAAACTTATTCAGTAACCTTCACTTGTGTTCTCTAATCTTGAGTAATTTGACCTACTTTTCATATTAACTTAAGGCATGTACTACCTTATGGCCTAACAGGAGTAATTCTACGTCTCTCTCTTAAATTTATTCCTCCATTAGCAATATTTTTTATGTCAACACTAGTTGTAGGGAAATATAATAATTCTGTATTGTAGCGTTCACGAATGTTTTGATGCACAAATATTTTTTTTTTTAACAAGTCAGCCGTCTCCCACCGAGGCAGGGTGACCCAAAAAGAAAGAAAATCCCCCAAAAGAAAATACTTTCATCATCATTCAACACTTTCACCTCACTCACACATAATCACTGTTTTTGCAGAGGTGCTCAGAAACACAACAGTTTAGAAGCATATACGTACGTATAAAGATGCACGACATATCCCTCCAAACTGCTAATATCTGAAACCCTTCCTTATGAGTGCAGGCATTGTACTTCCCATTTCCAGGACTCAAGTCCGGCTATGTAAAAATAACCGGTTTCCCTGAATCCCTTCACAAATATTTCCCTGCTCACACTCCAACAGATTGTCAGGTCCTAAATACCATTCGTCTCCATTTACTCCTATCAAACACGCTCATGCACGCCTGCTGGAAGTCCAAGCCCCTCACCTACAAAGACCTCCCTAACCCCTTCCTTCCAACTTTTTCGAGAACGACCCCTACCCAGCCTTCCTTCCCCTACAGATTTATACGCTCTCCATGTCATTGTACTTTGATCCATTCTCTCTAAATGACCAAACATATTGTAGGGAAATATAATAATAGAATTCACTTAGCCTAACAATACTGCTTCCTTAACATACTGAACCATGAACAGAGTTTTGTAGGGAATTATGTCATAATTGGCCTCAGCAATACTCTCCTCTTCTTCATCCTCATGCTCTGCCTGCACAATCTCCAACAATTCTTCATCATTTAGGCCCAGTGCATGTTAATCAATCAGTTCTCTCGCTTCACCCTCCTGCATGTCCTTGAACCCTCCACCACCAACTAGCCTTGCTAACTCCATAGTCTTCTTCATGGCTTTGTTGATCTTGTCCTGAGGACCAAATCCAACAAAATCACACTCACACTCTGGCCACAAAGCCCTCCAACAACCCTCCCCACATTTTTTTTTGGTAAATATGACTGGGAGGCTAGGCATTCATGAATGTTCCAAGCTCGTGAAAGTGGAACTCGCAAAAGTAACACACAAGTCACTCAAAATTCTCACGAATATCATCCAAAATTAAGTATCATATTTCTATTAATAATGTATTTTATATTAGAAAACACAGTCCTCTGCACTTCAAAATTAAACTGAATGAACAAGTACCAAGATGACTATGTATGCATTTCATTTACTTACACGTAAGGAGATTATAAATACATACATGTTAATATTTACAGGCAAGCACATTAGCCTTACCAGAATATTTAGTGCCTCTCGATAAGCTCCAGTCAGCTGAGAAGCTCTGGCCAATTTTAACACTAGTAAACCCTGGGTTGGATTGAGATTTATACTGTAGGAATATGCCAAGCCCTGTCCTCGAATTTCTCTCCACATTGGTCCCTGGAAAAATTTTAAGGTAGAATGTTTTTATGAGCAACAAACTCAAATATATTTAAGTACACTAAGAACAGTAGTACAGGAGGCCCTCCACATTCGCGAGGGTTGGGGGATCAAGAACCTCGCGAATCTTGAAAATTTGCGAATGTTTGGTGTGCAAATATGATGCAGGGAAATATAATAATGCTGTACTGTGGTGTTCATGAATGTTTTGATGCACAAATATACTGTAGGGAAATATAATAATAACATTTACTTAGCCTAACAATACTGCTTCCTTAACCTATTGAACCACGAACAGTTTTTTGTAGGGAATTATGTCATAATTCGCCTCAGCAACACTCTCCTCTTCTTCATCCTCACTCTCTGCCTGCACAATCTCCAACAATTCTTCATCATTTAGGCCCAGTGCATGTTAATCAATCATTCTCTTGCCTTGCCCTCCTGCATGTCCTCGAACCCTTTACCACTAACCCTTGCTAACTCCATAAGTCTTCCTCATGGCTTTGTTGACCTTGTCCTGAGGACCAAATCCAACAAAATCACACACACACTCTGGCCATAAAGCCCTCCAACAACCGTTCTTGCATTTTTTTTTTTTTGGTAAATATGATTGGGTGGCTGGGCATTCACGAATGTTCGAAGCTCGTGAAAGTGGAACTCGCGAAAGTGGAGGGTTAGCTGTATTTTAATTATTCAACAGTGACTAAAGTCTCTATATTAGAAAGGATATTTTTTTTAACAAACCTCCAGTTGTGTGAGATACTGAATGGCTGTAAGAATGGCTGGAACATCCCAATCTCTGTGTTCTGTCACACATCGGGTTGATTGTAATAAATAAGCAGACTCAACTGATCCAATACCAGTCAAGTACCCGGTAGTATTACCAAAGTCCTCATAAGAAAGTAATTCACTATCTGGTATGATGTTAAGTCTGAAAAGAAACATAACTACAATAAATATGGCATAATAATGTTTTGTTATAAAGTATGGTATACCAAATACAAGAGGGCGGCCCACAAAAATTAAAGTTTAAAATTTTACTGTCTCACACCCATCGTTATTAGCAACTCAAAGACAAGACATTCCATGCCAAATTTAAGAAAAAATTGGGGTTCATTTAGTTGTGCCTCAATGATTTCAAATTTTCACCTCCAATAAAATGGGAATTCCCATTTTGTCTTTATGGGGAAGTGAAATCCCTTGTACTGGAAAACGTAACTAGGTAGTGTAACCAAGAGTAAATTAATAATAATAATAATAGTAGGTTGGTAGACAGCAACCACCGAGGGAGGTACTACCGTTCTGCCAAGTGAGTGTAAAATGAAAGCCTGTAATTGTTTTACATGATGGTAGGATTGCTGGTGTCTTTTGTCTGTCTCATAAATATGCAAGATTACAGGTACGTCTTGCTACTTCTACTTACACTTACGTCACACGTACACGTTTATTTATACACACTCATCTGAGTTTTCTTTGATTTTATCTTAGTTCTTGTTCTAATTATTTTTCCTTTTATATCCATGGGGAAGTGGAATAAGAATCTTTCCTCCGTAAGCCATGCGTGTTGTAAAAGTCAACTAAAATGCCGGGAACAATGGGCTAGTAACCCCTTTTCCCTGTAAAAATTACTAAAAAGAATAAGAAGAAGAAAATTGTCAAAGTGGGAAGTTTGAATGTGTATGGATGTTGTGCAAATGATAAGAAAGAGATGATTGTGGATGTTATGATTGAGAAGAAGCTGGATGTCCTGGCTTTAAGTGAAACAAAGCTGAAGGGGGTGGGTGAGTTTCAGTGGAGAGGAATAAATGGGATTAGGTCAGGGGTTTCTAATAGAGTTAGAGCTAAAGAAGGAGTAGCAATAATGTAGAAGGATAAGCTATGGCAGGAAAAGAGGGACTATAAATGTATTAATTCAAGGATTAATGTTTAGTAAAATAAAGGTTGGATGTGAGAAGTGGGTTATAGTAAGTGTTTATGCACCTGGAGAAGAGAGAAGTATAGAGGAGAGAGAGAGAGATTTTGGGAAATGTTTAGTAATTGTGTGGGGAGTTTTGAACCAAGTGTGAGAGTACTTGAGGTTGGGGATTTTAATGCTAAAATGGGTGGGAAAAAATGTTGTGGAGGTAGTAGTAGGTAAATTTGGGGTGCCAGGGGTAAATGAAAATGGGAAGCCTTTAATTGAGCTATGTGTAGAAAGAGGTTTGGTAATAAGTAATACATATTTTATGAAAAAGAGGAAAAATAAATATACAAGGTATGATGTAGCACGTAATGAAAGTAGTTTGTTAGACTATGTATTGGTGGATAAAAGGTTGATGGGTAGGCTCCAGGATGTACACGTTTATAGAGGGGCAACTGATATATCGGATCATTATCTAGTTGCAGCTACAGTTAGAGTAAGAGGTAGATGGGATAAGAGGAAAATGGCAACAACAAGTAAGAGGGAGGTGAAAGTGTATAAACTAAGGGAGGAGGAAGTTCGGGTGAAATATAAGCAACTATTGGCAGAAAGGTGGGCTGGTGCAGGTATAGTAGTGGGGGGGGGTTGAAGAGGGTTGGAATAGTTTTAAAAAATGCAGTATTAGAATGTGGGGCAGAAGTTTGTGGTTACAGGAGGGTGGGTGCAGGAGGAAAGAGGAGTGATTGGTGGAATGATGAAGTAAAGGGTGTGTTAAAAGAGAAAAAGGTAGCTTATGAGAGGTATTTACAAAGTAGAAGTGTTATAAGAAGAGTAGAGTATATGGAGAGTAAAAGAAAGGTGAAGAGAGTGGTGAGAGAGTGCAAAAGGAGAGCGGATGATAGAGTGGGAGAGGTACTGTCAAGGAATTTTAATGAAAATAAGAAAATTTTTTGGAGTTAAACAAGTTAAGAAAGCCTAGGGAACAAATGGATTTATCAGTTAAAAACAGAGAAGAGGAGTTAGTAGATGGGGAGATGGAGGTTTTGGGTAGATGGCGAGAATATTTTAAGGAACTTTTAAATGTCAACGAAGAAAGGGAGGCGGTAATTTCATGCACCGGCCAGGGAGGTATATAATTTTTTAGGAGTGAAGAAGAGCAGGATGTGAGTGTGGGGGAGGTGCGTGAGGCATTACGTAGAATGAAAGGGTGTAAAGCAGCTGTAACTGACGGGATCATGACAGAAATGTTAAAAGCAGGGGGAAACATAAGTGGTGGAGTGGTTGGTATTTTTGTTTAATAAATGTATGAAAGAGGGGAAGGTACCTAGGGATTGGTGGAGAGTGTATAGTCCCTTTATATAAAGGGAAGGGGGACAAAAGAGATTGTAAAAATTATAGAGGAATAAGTTTACTGAGTATACCATATATGTGAACAGTATTTAGATAAAGGTAGGGAAGTTTTTATTGCATTTATGGATTTAGAAAAGGCATATGATAGAGTGGATAGGGGAGCAATGTGGCAGATGTTGCAAGTGGATGGAATAGGTGGTAAGTTACTAAATGCTGTAAAGAGTTTTTATGAGGATAGTGAGGCTCAGGTTAGGGTGTGTAGAAGAGAGGGAGACTACTTCCCGGTAAAAGTAGGTCTTAGACAGGGATGTGTAATGTCACCATGGTTGTTTAATACATTTACAGATGGGGTTGTAAAAGAAGTAAATGCTAGGGTGTTCGGGAGAGGGGTGGGATTAAAATATGGGGAATTAAATACAAAATGGGAAGTGACACAGTTACTTTTTGCAGATGATACTGTGCTTATGGGAGATTCTAAAGAAAAATTGCAAAGGTTAGTGGACGAATTTGGGAATGTGTGTAAAGGTAGAAAGTTGAAAGTGAACATAGAAAAGAGTAAGGTGATGAGAGTATCAAATGATTTAGATAAAGAAAAATTGGATATCAAATTGGGGAGGAGTATGGAAGAAGTGAATGCTTTCAGATATTTGGGAGTTGATGTGTCAGCGGATGGATTTATGAAGGATGAGGTTAATCATAGAATTGATGAAGGGAAAAAAGTGAGTGGTGCATTGAGGTATATGTGGAGGCAAAAAATGTTATCTATGGAGGCAAAGAAGGGAATGTATGAAAGTATAGTAGTACCAACACTCTTATATGGGTGCGAAGAAGGCGGTTGGAGGCAGTGGAGATGTCCTGTCTAAGAGCAATGTCTGGTGTAAATATTATGCAGAAAATTCGGAGTGTGGAAATTAGGAGAAGGTGTGGAGTTAATAAAAGTATTAGTCAGAGGGCTGAAGAGGGTTTGTTGAGGTGGTTTGGTCATTTAGAGAAAATGGATCAAAGTAGAATGACATGGAGAGCATATAAATCTGTAGGGGAAGGAAGGCGGGGTAGGGGTCGTCCTTGAAAAGGTTGGAGGGAGGGGGTAAAGGTGGTGTTGTGGGCAGGGGTTTGGACTTCCAGCAAGCGTGCGTGAGCGTGTTAGATAGAGTGAATGGAGACAAATGGTATTTGGGACCTGACGATCTGTTGGAGTGTGAGCAGGGTAGTATTTAGTGAAGGGATTCAGGAGTAGCAATAATGTTGAAGGATAAGCTATGGCAGGAAAAGAGGGACTACAAATGCATAAATTCAAGGATTATGTGGAGTAAAATAAAGATTGGATGTGAAAAGTGGGTTATAGTAAGCGTATATGCACCTGGAGAAGAGAGAAGTGTAGAGGAGAGAGAGAGATTCTGGGAAATGTTGAGTGAATGCATGGGGAGTTTTGAATCAAGTGTGAGAGTAATGGTGGTTGGGGATTTCAATGCTAAAGTAGGTAAAAATGTTATGGAGGGAGTAGTAGGTAAATTTGGGGTGCCAGGGGTAAATGTAAATGGGGAGCCTTTAATTGAGCTATGTGTAGAAAGAAATTTGGTAATAAGTAATACATATTTTATGAAAAAGAGGATAAATAAATATACAAGGTATGATGTAGCACGTAATGAAAGTAGTTTGTTAGATTATGTATTGGTGGATAAAAGGTTGATGGGTAGGCTCCAGGATGTACATGTTTATAGAGGGGCAACTGATATATCAGATCATTATTTAGTTGTAGCTACAGTTAGAATAAGAGGTAGATGGGAAAAGAGGAAGGTGGCAACAACAAGTAAGAGGGAGGTGAAAGTGTATAAACTAAGGGAGGAGGAAGTTTGGGCGAGATATAAGCCACTATTGGCAGAAAGGTGGGCTAGTGCAAAGATGAGTAGTGGGGGGGTTGAAGAGGGTTGGAATAGTTTTAAAAATGCAGTATTAGAATGTGGGGCAGAAGTTTGTGGTTATAGGAGGGTGGGGGGCAGGAGGAAAGAGGAGTGATTGGTGGAATGATGAAGTAAAGGGTGTGATAAAAGAGAAAAAGGTAGCTTACGAGAGGTTTTCACAAAACAGAAGTGTTATAAGAAGAGCAGAATATATGGAGAGTAAAAGAAAGGTGAAGAGAGTGGTGAGAGAGTGCAAAAGGAGAGCAGATGAAAGAGTGGGAGAGGCACTGTCAAGAAATTTTAATGAAAATAAGAAAAATTTTGGAGTGAGTTAAACAAGTTAAGAAAGCCTAGGGAAAGTATGGATTTGCCCGTTAAAAACAGAGTAGGGGAGTTAGTAGATGGGGAGAGGGAGGTATTAGGTAGATGGCGAGAATATTTTGAGGAACTTTTAAATGTTGAGGAAGAAAGGGAGGCTGTAATTTCATGCACTGGCTAGGGAGGTATACCATCTTTTAGGAGTGAAGAAGAGCAGAATGTAAGTGTGGTGGAGGTACGTGAGGCATTACGTAGAATGAAAGGGGGTAAAGCAGCTGGAACTGATGGGATCATGACAGAAATATTAAAAGCAGGGGGGGATATAGTGTTGGAGTGGTTGGTACTTTTGTTTAATAAATGTATGAAAGAGGGGAAGGTACCTAGGGATTGGCGGAGAGCATGTATAGTCCCTTTATATAAAGGGAAAGGGGACAAAAGAGATTGTAAAAATTATAGAGGAATAAGTTTACTGAGTATACCAGGAAAAGTATACGGTAGAGTTATAATTGAAAGAATTAGAGGTAAGACAGAATGTAGAATTGCGGATGAGCAAGGAGGCTTCAGAGTGGGTTGGGGATGTGTAGATCAAGTGTTTACATTGAAGCATATATGTGAACAGTATTTAGATAAAGGCAGGGAAGTTTTTATTGCATTTATGGATTTAGAAAAGGCATATGATAGACTGGATAGAGGAGCAATGTGGCAGATTTGCAAGTTTATGGAATAGGTGGTAAGTTACTAAATGCTGTAAAGAGCTTTTATGAGGATAGTGAGGCTCAGGTTAGGGTGTGTAGAAGAGAGGGAGAATACTTTCCGGTAAAAGTAGGTCTTAGACAGGGATGTGTAATGTCACCATGGTTGTTTAATATATTTATAGATGGGGTTGTAAAAGAAGTAAATGCTAGGGTGTTCGGGAGAGGGGTGGGATTAAATTATGGGGAATCAAATTCAAAATGGGAATTGACACACGTTACTTTTTGCTGATGATACTGTGCTTATGGGAGATTCTAAAGAAAAATTGCAAAGGTTAGTGGATGAGTTTGAGAATGTGTGTAAAGGTAGAAAGTTGAAAGTGAACATAGAAAAGAGTAAGGTGGTGAGGGTATCAAATGATTTAGATAAAGAAAAATTGGATATCAAATTGGGGAGGAGGAATATGGAAGAAGTGAATGTTTTCAGATACTTGGGAGTTGACGTGTCGGCGGATGGATTTATGAAGGAAGAGGTTAATCATAGAATTGATGAGGGAAAAAAGGTGAGTGGTGCGTTGAGGTATATGTGGAGTCAAAAAACGTTATCTATGGAGGCAAAGAAGGGAATGTATGAAAGTATAGTAGTACCAACACTCTTATATGGATGTGAAGCTTGGGTGGTAAATGCAGCAGCGAGGAGAACGGTTGGAGGCAGTGGAGATGTCCTGTCTAAGGGCAATGTGTGGTGTAAATATTATGCAGAAAATTCGGAGTGTGGAAATTAGGAGAAGGTGTGGAGTTAATAAAAGCATTAGTCAGAGGGCAGAAGAGGGGTTGTTGAGGTGGTTTGGTCATTTAGAGAGAATGGATCAAAGTAGAATGACATGGAAAGCATATAAATCTATAGGGGAAGGAAAGAGGGGTAGGGGTCGTCCTCGAAAGGGTTGGAAAGAGGGGGTAAAGGAGGTTTTGTGGGCGAGGGGCTTAGACTTCCAGCAAGCGTGCATGAGCGTGTTAGATAGGAGTGAATGGAGACGAATGATACTTGGGACCTGACGATCTGTTGGAGTGTGAGCAGGGTAATATTTAGTGAAGGGATTCAGGGAAACCGGTTATTTTCTTATAATCGGGCTTGAGTCCTGGAAATGGGAAGTACAATGCCTGCACTTTAAAGGAGGGGTTTGGGATATTGGCAGTTTGGAGGGATATGTTGTGTATCTTTATACATATATGCTTCTAAACTGTTGTATTCTGAGCACCTCTGCAAAAGCAGTGATAATGTGTGAGTGTGGTTTAAGTATTGAATGATGATGAAAGTATTTTCTTTTTGGGGATTTTCTTTCTTTTCTGGGTCACCCTGCCTCGGTGGGAGACGACCAACTTGTTGAAAAAAAAAAAAAAAAAAAAAAAAAAAATCAGGGAAACCAGTTATTTTATATAACCAGACTTGAGTCCTGGAAATGGGAAGTACAATGCCTGCACTCTAAAGGATGGGTTTGGGATATTGGCAGTTTGGAGAGATATATTGTGTATTTTTATACGTATATAATTCTAAACTGTTGTATTCTGGGCACCTCTGCAAAAACAGTGATTATGTGTGAGTGAGGTGAAAGTGTTGAATGATGATGATAGTATTTTCTTTCTCTTTGGGTCACCCTGCTTCAGTGGGAGACGGCTGACTTGGAAAAAAAAATAATAAAATAATACAGTGGAAACTCTACTTGAGAGTGCATCCACGTGCGAGTTTTTCCAAATACGAGCAGTCGATGGGTTGATTTTTTGCTTCCATATGCGAGTAAAATTTCCATACGAAAGCAGACCTCCAGGGAGGTTCCTTGATGCTGGCGAGGGGCTCTTGCTCTTGATCTAGGGAACTGTATCTCATTTGTTTGGCTATCTTACTGAAAAACTCACGAAATCGTAATGACACGATTGCAAACAAACCACACCCCGGCCGGGATGGTTTGTTTGCAATCGTGTCATTACAATTTCGTGAGTCATGTTGACGGCAGTGAAGGGACTTGAGCTAGAGTTCGTCACGGCCACGCTAGCTGGAGATTCGTCTGTAAAATCTTGCATTTCTGGTCACAGTGGTGCCTGTGCTAACCTTCCTATGGTGTAGAAATATACCTAGTTGGACGAATCTTATTGTGGCTAGCTGGTCTAGTGGCTAACGCGACGGGCTGGAGTTTTGAGACTATGACTGTGGGTTCAATCCCGGCCGGGGTATGGTTTATCTTACTGAAACTTGGGCAATGTATGAAGGAAAGATGCTGCTTAACATACACCAAAACTGAAAGAAATCAGAGCATAAATAATGGAGTTCAGTTCTCAGCAATTAGCCACTCCTTAGCAGATACTGCTAAGATATGGTTTTTATGGTTGTATTCTCATTTTTCTGGTCTCATTTAATAGAATGGAAGATATAATACAGAAATAGATATGATTTTGATTGCTTTCACGACGAAAAGTACCTTGAAATTGAACTCAACGAGGGAGAAATGCTCATTTGCTTGACTATGTTCAAGAGTAAACAAATGACGTCACTGTCCATTCCAATATGCAGTCATGAATGTGTTGACATTATTTATACAATTATTGCAATAAGGCATAACAGAAAATCTTATATTTTTTGTGTGAATAAAAATTACAGATTATTTATACTGTAATAATAATAATAGTAATAATAATAAAATAATAATAATAATAATATGTATAATAATAATAATATGTATAATAATAATAATACATATAATAACAATAATATAATAATAATAGTATAATAATAAAATACAATAATAATAATACGTATAATAATAATACATATATAATAATAATGTACTACATAATAATAATTATAATAATAGATGGCTTCAAAAGGCCGTTAATAGATAGTAGTGTTTACCACAACAAAGAGGGAGTGGTTGTGGCTGCCTCCACCTGTTACATAATGACATATTTTATTCATTCTAGAGTATGTATCAGGTTTCTATGTTATTTATATTGTTTATTATTTCATATTAGATGAACTGTGATAGATAAATAAGCCGTCGAGTTGATGATAGCGAAATATTCAAGGAGTATTTTGTCATGTCTCCAGACAAACTCTTGTCGGCCACCACCGTTGCCACACAAATAATGACATATTTTATTCATTCTAGAGTACAGGTACCATCTGACTTATGACCAAGCTTGGTTCCGACCAACAGGTCGTAAGTCAAAATGGACGTAAGTCGAACCTTTCAAAATTGCCGACATACTGGGTAGGGCATAATGTCAAACCTTACCTATATAACCTACCTACATTGTACATTACATTACAGTACTATCATTATTTCATTCTTTTTGCCATAATTTACTTCTACTGATATATTTTAATTATTTATGTACTGTATATGTATACATGGTAGTGAACTGTATTGTAAATTTTACATCTCATACAGTATCACATGTTACTGTTATCTTTAACCCTTTGAGGATCGAGAGGCCCTCTCCCAAACTCGTTCTCAGGGTTGAAAAATTTTAGGGAAAAAAAAAAAAAATCTGATGAAACGATAGAGAATCTTTTTCCGATCATAATGACCCCAAAAGTATGAAATTTTATGAAAAAACTTATGGAATTATGCTCTTGCGAAGTTAACGGTCTCAAAGTCGCCTACTTTGGGCCCTATTTTCAGCCAATTCCAATGTTGCAATTGAATAAAATCATAGCTATTTCCCTAGAACTCCATTTGTTCTACCGATTGAATACAAGAATCCACTCATTTCTGATTTCAACTACCCAATAAAATGGTCAGAAATTGGCAATTTGGGCAATTTCACACAAATTTCAAAAGATGCCAATTTCAAAATAGGGTTCAGAATAAACAAGACAGATATTCATGGCACTAAAACAACATTTTATCTGTTCATTAGTCACATCTTTATTCCCCTCTTACATTACTTTTGCTTTCCATTTTGAATTTTTATTTTCACAGAAAATAGAAAATTTTCTGTTATGTATACTATTGCATCGTTCTAAAAACGGTATAAATGATATCAGTGCACTTCTGAAAGAATATCAGACTCACCAGTTGATGTGTACTGGATGCGTGGCTTGATTTGTTTACTCTTGAATATTGGCAAAAATCGATTATTGCTATTTTGAGCTCAATTTCAAGGTACTTGTCATCATGAAACCAATCAAAATCATCTCTAATTCTGTAATATATCTTCCATTCTATCAAATGAGACCAAGGAAACAAGAATACGATCATAAACACCATACAAAAATTCACTAGAAATTCAATGTTTTCAACCAAAAACACAGCCGAAGTTTTTTTTTTTCTCATTATGCACAGCGTGCTTCAGGATTTTTTTTTATGATGTGCACACTGACCACACAGACCCATTCTTTCATATGTAGGCTTGCCAGCTTTCTTCCACCAGATTTGAAGGCGTTAGAATTTAGGCGTACAAGTACCTGACCAACCCTGGCTGCAATGATGTACTTGTACGTGACCGACCCTGAAAGGGTTAACCCTTTGAGGGTCGACAGGCCCTCTCAGAGACTTGTTCTCAGGGTCGGCCAAATTTAAAAAAAAAAAAAAAAATTATTTTTTATGAAAAAATAGTTTTTTTTTCTAAACATTATAGGATAAACAAAAATTTTTTACCATCAATACTTATGAGATATGGAGGCATGAAGTTTGCAGAAAATAAGCCATGTATGGCAACAGCGGCGACTGCCGCTCACCCGGTAAACTTTGGTTTACTTGTACATGTTTGAAGGTTTGTTGTTTTTTTAACTATTTTATTTCTTCACATAACTTAGTGGCCTGTGAGACCAAAGTAAGGTGCAGTTATTATTATGTATTATTATTATTACGTATTATTATTATTATTACGTATTCTTCTTCTTCCTCCTCCTCCTCCTCTTCTTCCTCTTCCTCTTCCTTCTCCTCTTCTTCCTCCTCCTCCTCTTCCTCTTCCATTCTTGGAACAAGTTTGAAGAGCTTGTAGTTCATAATCACTATCACTGTCATCACAAATGCTCACATCTGAGTCTGGGATTTGGGAAAATAGGAGTTTCCTCTTTGATTCTTGTACAACTGAACGTGAACAAGACGGCCCAGCACCAGAGGTGGAAGGCTGTGGGTTGTCTGGGTTTTCCTCACTATTACCCATATTATGGTCATTAGTTTTGGTCAAAACCTCACCAGAACCTTGAAACTCATCTTCACTGTCACTTCCATCTATATTAGAACTGTCACTGGGGAACAAAAGTGTCCCAATTCGCCGAGGAGTGAGGAACTTCTTACCGCCAGGCATGGTGAACATTGTGTACTATGATGGTATTCCCACAATGCACCACTGGATCCCAGATTTTTTTCCTACTGTGCACACCCACCACAGACCCATTCTCTCACATCTAGGCCTATCAGCCTTTTCCAGCGAGATTTGACAGCGCTAGAATTTATGCGTATAGTATGTCAAAAACCCGTTACGGCATACTAGAACGGCCGAAACCCTCAAAAGGTTAAGTATTGTCGACACAGTGGAATGGGAGAATAGCACTGGTAGTGTCATCCTGCCAGAATGTCCTATAACCTATACCCTAAGTAAAGAGAAACAACTCTGGAACATGTGTAATACGTATCCGGCTGGCTGGCAGGGTGGGTGGGTGATTGGCTGACTGGCTGACTGAATGTGGCTGTCCCTCTATCTGTATCTCTCTCTCTCTCACACACAGGTACACATAAGTAAAGTTATCATACATTGTATAAATTACCTAGGATAATCCAAAAAATCCAGACAATGCTATACAGTGGATCTGTGCTCCAGTGCCCTAAATTAATAATAATAATAATAATATAATAATTATTATTATTACAATAATATGTATGTACTACTACTACCATAATAATAATAATCACAGAGGCACATTAAATGTGTATAAAACATTAATATAGACATTTTGCTTAATCCATCTATGATTTTTTTTTAAATTATATAATAAACATGCTACGTAACATATAAACACATAAATTAACAAATATGAAATTTTTTCTGGCCGGCTTGACAGAGTGAACAAAAACCATTCATGTCCTGGCTGGTAACAACAACTAGTTTGTTTACAAAACTAACGAACTTTCTACACTCTCATTCCTCTCTCTCTCTCTCTCTCTCTCATTTATTCATTTAATCTTGTTTACTCACCTCTCACTCTACATTAAGACTACAGATATTTTAAGGCAAGTAATGAGTGAACACGATTATTATATTATAGTTTAATAATATTACAGTGGACCCCCAGTTTACGATCAGCTCCCAATGCGACCAATTATGTAAGTGTATTTATGTAAGTGTGTTTGTATGTGTATGTTTGGGGGTCTGAAATGGACTAATCTAATTCGCAATATTCCTTATGGGAACAAATTCGGTCAGTACTGGCACCTGAACATACTTCTGGAATGAAATAATATCGTAAACTGGGGGTCCACTGTATTATTATTAACCCTCTGACTGTTTCGGTCGTATATGTACGTCTTATGCGCCACTGTTTCGGATGTATTTATACGCATAAATTCTAGCGGTTTCAAGTCAAGCAGGAGAAAGCTGGTAGGCCTACATGAGAGAGAATGGGTCTGAGTGGTGGGTGTACACCCTGTGAAAAAAATCTGGGACTCAGTGATGCATTGTGGGAATGCCATCTTGGTAGTCCATTTTCACCATGCCTCAGGGTAAGAAGTACCTCACTCCTCGGTGGATTGGAGGTCTTTTGTTCCCAAGTGATAGCTCTAACAGTGATGGAAGTGTCAGTGAAAGTGAATTCCATGGTTTTCAAGCTGATGTGACCGAAAACAGTGCCCAGGATAATGTAATTAGTGATGAAAACCCAGATGACCCACGACCTTCCACCTCTGGTGCTGGGCCGGTTCGTTCACGTTCACCTGTACTAGGACGAAAGAGGAAACTATTTGCCCATGTTAAAACTCAGATGTGAGCAGTGAAAGTGATAGTGATTTCAAAGCTATTGAAAGCAGTTCTAGTTGCAACAGTGAGGATGAATATTCCCCAGTGAAGCGGCAGTATATACAATGTAGCATGTGGTCTGGTAGTGTGTCATATGCTGTTCCAAGGGGAAGGAGTAAATCTCGGAGCACATCCCATGGCCCTACACCACGACCTGATAGTGAAGATGACGATATTGTTACACTGGGTATGATGCGAGTGAGGCAGCAGGTGGTGGTGGTGGTGATAGTGATGGTGGCTCGAGTCATTTGGCACCAGCAGCAGACCACGCTACTACCAACGCTGCTGACTCTGCACAGCTACAACCAGCCTCACCCAACCCCACACTCCCACAACAACCACAACCACATTTCAATATCCAGAACCCACCAGCAGACCGCATCTGGGATTGGCAGCAAGGAGACGATTTTATTCCCAATCCCCATGACTTTGATGAAACACAAAGTGGAATATGGCCATCGTGTACACTTGGGAACAATGCCACTGAACTAGAATGCTTTCAGTTATTCTTTGATGAACCCCTGATGGACATT